GCCTATTAAGGTGTCTGAGGAGCACCAGAAAAGATGCAAATAAGTATCAGGAGTATGTGGCTGGGAATGGGGAGGGAAGGAATTGAAGCACATGCCCAGCAGAAATCTGCTGGATCACTTCATCATGTATTATGAAACAGAAACCTCAGGGTTTAATTTAAGAGCCAACAGAATTAGTCTCACTTGTCCCCCAGAATTTTTTTCTAGTCCAACCCTTTGTGCCAAAATGAGTGCCCAGCCATCCAACATATACCTGGAGGAAAAGAGTTATTAAAATCTGAACCAATATCTTGACCTGGCTCATAGCCTGGCTCTGTGCCTGGTTTCAGTGACCCAAGAGAGAGGGGAGCAGTCGTGAGGCGCTGTGGGAGGCAGGGTTGACCCTCACTGGCTTAAACTCCAAGAAACTACTGCTTCTGGCTAAGGTTCCTTGGTACCCTGAGCTGCTCTCATCTGCTGGGTCTAGTGGCCATTCCCTCATCTGCCTCCAACCACACATTACTCCCCTCTCCCAGTCATACAGCTACAAAGAAGTCGATTCAGCTGGCTGATACAGTAGAAACCTTTCCTCTTCATTTCCCTGTCACCCAGAGTAGTCAGAAGGCTCATCTGGCCAAAGACTCATCTTGTCACCATGTGATTTCCAGATCCAACACATGGGAAGGAGGAAAGGATTCAAGAAAAGGAGAGGATGGCCTGGCCATCTTGGCAATAGCTCACCACCAGACTGGGTTCACCACAAAGATTGCAACCCACCTCCTTTCTCATCCTGTTTTTTGGAGATCATCCTACACTGCCTGTCTCCTCCCAGTTTAATTGCTGTAGGTCTGCATTGCAAGCTAGATCAGTTCATTGACAGAAAAGATTGCTTTTAACCCCAAATGGTCAGCTGGGCTGCCACAGTTAGGAGGGAGCCTGCAGGCAAAGTCTGCAGTCAGGAGATTCTTAGCATTGAAGATGACAAAACCAGAATCACAGTCTTAAACACTGCAATATGCTTCAGACTACTCAAAAGGTTTATATTTGAATGAAGAAAGTCTGCCCCCTGAGAGAGAAGACAATTACTTGAGAGAGTCAGTGAAGTAAGAGCTATCAGCTTTTTGTAAAATGCAACTAAAGACAAACTAGTTTACAGTGTCTTCCCTGTTATGCTCTTTAGTATTAACAATAGAAATACAGTACTTTGATACAAGACTACTTCAGGGCTATAGTATTTACCACCGGACATATGCTTCTGAAAAAAGGTAAGTAGATGCTGATCAGTAGATCAATCAGATCTGCTGGAATAACCCTGCCCAGAGGTTAGAAACCAGTACTCAGTCTGAGAACTTGAGGAGCTGTATGATGTTACCACATAAATGATAAACACATCGGTCCAGGTTAGTTCCAACAGACCACAGCAGCTAAGATGCAGTTAGCTCTGTAATCAAGATAGCCCCCCTAACATAATATTCTGTTGAATATTTGGCTGTAACAGTTGAGTTCACAATAAATCAATTAATGTAAGTCTTTTGCAAAAATTCCTTCTTTAAGGAGTCCTTATTTTGGTGTAAAAAATCTGAACAGAACAAAGCTCCATTTCCAATTTCAGTTAAAAAAAAAAAAATTAATTACATGAGATGTCTTATCATTCATGCTACTAAAAACACATAGTATCAGTTTATTCAAACAGAGATTAAGATAAATGCACCCCCTAAATAAAAATGGAGCACCTCTGCTATGAAGACAGGCTGAAAAAGTTGGAGCTATTGAGAATGGAGAAAAAAAGGGTCTGGGTAAACATTATAGCACCTTCCAGTACCTGAAGGGGCTACAGGAAAGCTGGGGAGGGGCTTTTTATCAGAGAGGGCAGTGATGGGACAAGGGTTAATGGTTTTAAACTGAGAGAGGGGAGATTTAGGTTAGATATTAGGAAGAAATTCTTCACCATGAGGGTAGTAAGGCACTGGAACAGGTTGCCTAGGGAGGCTGTGGAAGCCCCCTCCCTGAAGGTGTTTATGGCCAGGTTGGATGAGGTTTTGTGCAGCCTGGTCTGGTGTGGGGTGTCCCTGCTCATAGCAGGGGGGTTGGAACCTAATGATCTTTAGGGTCCTTTCCAACCTTGACTTCTGTGATTCTATGAAAAATACTATGCTGAAAGAATGTATGAGTTACATGCAAAAGCACTCGAGTTCAGGAGCACTGAACTTGCACTGGGTATAAGTACAATAATGACTTAATGCTCTATGTGTGCACATCTGCAACAGTACAGTGTTTTCCTTAATAATCATTACGATCAGAACTCATCTGATTATCCACAATATCCTGGAAGGTTTTGGGTTATGCTTAACAGTATCTTTAGATATAATTCTCTCTTTGCTCTTCCACAGTACTCTGCAAACCCAAAGATTTGGATAATCTACATCTTCCAGTCATTATTCTATGTTCCAATCCAATTTCTAAAAAAAAAAAGTATTAGTATAATATGAATATTTCATCTGACACAAGATGATTTGGTAATGTGATTTTTAAGTGGACTGGGACTAGTGCAAATGGGCAGAAAGAAGGCCAAAGACCACACAGGTGGTGAGAAAGAACCCAGAAAAACATACATATATTTTAGCATTGTAGGCAAAAAAGAACTCTGATCTCAAAAGAGTTAGGACAAGGAAACAATAAACAGTCAAGGAAAGAGCAGGATTCCAGAGTGACACAGAGTTCATCCCATTGGTGATAGAAAGAATGCATGGACAGTTTATTTTCAGATGCTTTTTAAAAAAAAACCACACCAAAACAAACAAAAAAACAAACAAACAAACAAACAAAAACCACAGAGAGACATAATTAATGAAAATCATGAAAGTAGTTATATATTCCAAGCTTTGTGTCTCCCTAACCTATCCATAACAGAGACACCAACATAGTTTATCTGGATTTTAATTCTAAACCTACTACTCAGTTTGCACAAATGGAAAACAAACATTAAGTAGAAATCAGCTGAGTTACATATATATACAGTTATTCCTAATAACACAGATTGCTAAATAGAAAATGTACTCCTCATATGACAAAGCATAACTTCACTAGCTGGACCAAACACGGAATCATTGATCATACAATGTGTCATGTGCAAAGCAAAAAGACATTCCAACTTCCAGTTGACTTATAAGAAATAGAGAATATTACTACTACAGATGAAGTTCAAAGAAAATTGAATTTCTTGTCCTCAATAGTGGACTATAAATGAACACGCTCTGTTGCATTAGAAACAGTATGTTAATTAAAAGGACAGTGATCTGAAAAAGCACAGTTTAATATATGTTTTCTCATGCATAACATGAGACATCTTGTCATGATACATCTTGTCAAACCTATCAGAAATACAATAACTTATTCTCAAATCCTTTAAGAATGATATCATAAAAACAAAAGTAGGAAAAACTTGGGGTATAATAATTTGGAGGTCACTTCTACCTGCTCCTGACCAAAAGTGTTATTAAGGGAAAAAAAAAAAAAATAGGTGGCACAAAGTACCTTGCCAAAAGTGTAGTTTGCTGAGAAGAGACAGTGAAGCCCTGTATGGTTCACAAGGAATGTGGGTGAAGTTATGTTTTTGTTTTTAATTACTCAGGTTTTGAAGGGTACATAAAACCACTGTCTATTTATAGGCAGGCATACTCATTCCTCTTTTTGTGATGCTTAGAAGTCACATATCAGTCGGCACAGAAATTCCACTTCCTACAGCTTCCGGCCACCTGCCTCCCTGCCCACATCTCATGCAATATCACAAGAAGTAAGGAAATGCTGTATGTAGCAAACCGTGAAGTACCACCAGAGTATGGCATCATGGAAGTAATCTGGGGAAGTATTTCCTGAGCTAAGGCTCCTGAAAACCTCCTCTGCTCCTTTCCCTTCTATTTACTCTAGGAATTTGTCTACTCAAACACCTTCGCTGAGCTCAATCATGGCAGTTTCCACAAGGAAAATATGGTGTCTGAAGCATGCATGAGATAACCACATCAAGCATAACATTGGACAGGAATGCTACAACTCACTGAGCATCCTTTGAAGGGAAATTGGAGTAGCTACACCTTAATTCCATCAGTATGCAGGAATTATTTGCAGGCTGTGCTGTCCTAGATAGGCACAACGTAGCTCCTTCTGAGAAAAGCATCACAGAACCAGATGTGCACTGCAGAAGGCCACCTTCCATCCAGTTACTACAGCACAACATGTATCTGCTTGCAGGGAACAGATCACTGTCCACACCGCATTACTTCTCCTCTGCCTGGATTTATTTCTTTATTTAATGAAATACATAAATGCTCTAAAACTCTAAAAACATTGGAAAGGACCTGTTCCAATGTTCTGTATAAAATAAAAAACCTCTGCTAGAAATTTTTGTAGTCCTTAGGAAACTAACAATGTTGAATCATAAAACAGACAGTGCTTAAAGCGCTATAGAATTGGCAAACTTAAACTCCAGTTCATGTGATTGTGGCATTGAAGATCCAATCTATGCGATTATTGAACAAAAGCAATCACAAGGCTTGGAACTTCTCAGCTTCTCACAAACTCAAGTTTTTCATTTGCAAGGTCATATTATATAGCTGTATCAAGATGTGTTTGGGCCAGCAGTTCACTGGGTGTTTCCTGCCCACACAGAGCACTGAAGATAGGGTTTGGTAGGGTTTTTTTGGCAGTGTGCCTCCCTGTGCACGTCAGGCACATGGCTGCTCCTCAACATTTCCATGTCCCAGCGTACTTTATTCATTACTCAGCAGTGCTTCAGAGCTCTCTGAAATAGGAAGCTTGCATTGGTCATGATTCAGTAAGTACTTACAGCAGGAGATGATGTTTCTATATTTTAATGCTATTTACTTAAAAGCAGAAGGCATCCTACTGTATTTTTATTATTTTTTTTTCACCTAGAAGGAAATACTTCACTTAAGGAAAAGAAGGCATGTTCAGAAGATAAACTGTATATTTAACAAGTCTTGAACAATCAGTAGCATACTCACATGGGAAATCATCCACAAACATGGGGTCTATGTTATGCAGCAGTTCCACTCGAGGGGAAGGTCTTCCTTCACTAGGGAAGATTTCAAAAGGAAATGTTAATTTCCTTCTACAGCTCATTAGGATTCTGCATGCTTTATTTTAAGGCTTTTTGTCATCCTAATACAGAATGAGTTCATAACCATAAGCTACTTGCTACATACTTCAATATGAACATGCTTTTTCAGGCTAGTAGCAGCAGCTTTTGTCTCTGTCAGTCTTCCCTGACTTCACTGGTGCTTACTGGGATTATTCATAGGTTTACAAGGTACAGACCTGGCCCTGCCAAAGTAGGGTTTTACAATAATCAACTTTAAAAATTAAATTTTGCAGAATAAGCTGGCATAGCACTTGCTATGCTCTCTGCATATCTGAACAAGGACTGAAGGCATTTTGACTCAGGGCAGTGCCTCAAAAAACACTACAGGCATTGGCTACCCTTCAAGAAACCTACCTTCAATTTGTAACTGAGGTCAAAAGGATTATTTTGATATTCTGAAACTTTTTGTGGGGGAAAAAATACACCAAACCCCTTTTTTTCTAGCCATTGGCTACATAGAGGTGGTGTGAAATGAGCCTCTGAAATGATCCATAAATTTTCTGAGTTAAGTACATCCAAGTCCTAAAAAAACTGAGTAAAAAAAATTTACTCCTTATAAAGAGCAACATGATTAGGAATGCATAATTAGAAAAAACCTTGGCTACATCATGATATAATATTTTATTATTTGACAGTGACCCTAAACACCTCTGTTTAGAAACTTCTGAATTACTTAAATTGTTTTATTTTTGCTAAGAAGCTTCAAGACTCAAAAAGTCAACAGGGCTCCCAAATCACTTGGCATTAAGAATAAAAATAATTTTAAAAACCCCACCAAAAACCAACCAACCAACCAAAAACCCAAAAACCAACAGGTAACATAAAACTTAGTGGAAAACTCAAAAATTACTGTTATTTTAATAATCTATAATTAAACAATATTTACCTGTAATTTAAACTTTCAATAACAACTAATTAAAACTAATATTGTTCCATTCTGTTTGTAAAACCATTTCTGAATGCTACACATTTTGAGTAAGTACAAAATTAACAAAAAGGATTGGATGAAACATTAAATGTGTTTAGATAATACAGTACAAAGGAAGTACAATATTTAACCCACAGTGTTAGTAATTCCCTGTATAAAAACTGCCACAAAAATGTTTTTCCCATAATGTTAGTGAAAGGTTAACTCCCCCAACCCTTCCTGGCCTCACAGCCTAATATTTACAGTAGTTACACTCTTAACTAAGGAATGTCTGATTGTATTTAATGAAATAGACTCTTACTGTCTAGGTGCTTCATTTACAACTGTGGTCAAATGTGCCTTTCACAATCTGATCATAGGTAACATTAACATGAACCAGTTATCACAAGTTAAATTAGGATGCAGATTTTTAGCATGTGAATGACTCTGTAGTAACTGCTCAGGAGGATATTCTTCTTTTGCAGCTGTATCTACATTTTTCAGTATTATTTTAAGAGAAAGCAAACACCAGAGTTATGCTAAGTAATCTAGTATCTCCCACCAGGGTCCAATACAGAAGAAAGAAGTAACTTACTCCTATGTACTTCTCTTGTTTATGCATCTATTATTTGTACAGTAACACAGTAGGTAGGAAGTCAGAAATTAGGATATGTATGCTGTTCAAGCAGACTAGTATTACCATCATATCAGTAATTTATGGCTTCTAATCTGGAGGGTGCATACCGTACTCTAAACATGCTATCAACATAATTGCTCAGCTGGTAGAATAAAAAATACAAATACTGCACCTGCATTAATTTAAGTTTTCAATGCTGCAGCTGTCATTTTTATTGATTTTTTTTTCTTGGATAGAACATTGGTATTAGTAACTTGGAAATGTGATTCACATATAATAATGAGATTTACTTTGAGATGCTTATGGCATTACTGCATTAAGCTCTGTAGCACTATTAACCACTACTGAATTGCTTGTTTAGTTTGGATGTCACTCCAGTAACTGCTGCACACAACATGGAAATCTCAAACCAGCACGTATTATTCACAGAACAATAGCCGGAGAAAAGAAGACAGCATTGTATGTTGAAGAAAGCTGCTGGCTGACAGAACAGGACATCAGGAAGGCAGAAACAATGTCCCAAGGAAAGCAAGTAGAGAATTACACTTGTAGCAGAGTTCTATTTCCCTGTGCCTAAACTCTGTTCTCCTTCACATTTATGGAGCTCCATGCTGACCTTAATCCCCTCAAAAACCATGGTCTCAACAACAGATTCACCTTGGCAGATGTTCTGCCAAGAATATTTTGCATCAGGAATATACTTGCCAGCTGAGCTAGGATAAGAAAGCAATATGATTCTCTAGGGAATCCTCCCTTTGTATTTTAGCAGCTTCCAGTGTAACCATATCTTACAATGGTCTAACTTTAGAATCTTTATTTTTAGACTCCAATATTCTAATATGTTGCTCCTCTCTGTAAAAATAGAGAACTTGTAATTTTGTCCACTTATTACTCTACCATGTCTAATTGACTATTTAATTAAGCAGTTAAAATGTATTATTTTCTAAATAAGTCCTCCATGTAAGACACTCTTGATGAAAGCATATGGATTAACTTCATAGTTGGTTGGAGTATCAGCTAGTTTCTGTTTTGCAAAGTTTTTAAAACACAGAACAATCTATTACTCCTTAGTGAACATGAAAAACATCTACATGTGATCTTTCACTTTTGTTGTTGTTGTTAAATATGCAGAAGGTGTCCTTGGGAAGGAATCCAAGGTTTTTCAGGGTAAATATGTTTTTCTTGCACAAAAAACATCCTCAGTATCACTCAGCAAAATCTGAGCCTTTATAACCTTGCCACATGTGTTTAATTCCTAAGATGAATGTAAGCATTTAGTACAATAAAATTCAAGTTAATATCTTTATCCAATGAATTCTATTATTTCCAACATTATAAAAATAAAAAACTGAAACTGGCCCTGAAAAATCATATAAGTAAACTTGAAAGCCTACATGCTAACAAGCTTTGAAGAAATATTATTTTCACTGCATTTCAGCCTGACTCTTTTAGTTCCTATCATAGTGCTTCACAAGCTCGCCATTTGGTTTTCCATTTTACTGTTAATGCAAAATAAAATCCTTTTTCTGAGGACAGACACACTAGATATGTACTGAAAACCAAAATATATCAAAACAATGTATCAACCAGGGCAAATTCCCACATAAGGAAAATTATTTTGCCTAGTGTTTCGATTTCAATAGAGTAGCAAGCATCTGGAGAACAGATTTTTCTTAGAAACAGAAGTGCCTTTTGAGATACTTGCTTGGAAACATGCAGTACATTTTAGATTCCTTGACTAAAAACATTTAAGTATTGTTTCTATTAATTGTTCTTGGTACTCTCAATTACAATTTTGGTTAAACGATTAGTGATATTATAACTGTATTTTCATAAATAATTTCTAATATGTACATGGTTTTAAAGGCTCCACCTATATTGTAGTGTTACCTAAGGCAATCTGAAGTATTAGGAAAGTGTAATCTCCTATGATTTATGTAAAAGGTTTATACATGAGACTGGAATGGTCTGATGGATATCCAAAAATGGGTTGGTACCATAATACTACTCTGAGTTGTTTTTGAAAAGAAGTTAAGAGTCATTAAAGGGAAAAAGTAAATCTAGTTCCAAAGGTACCTGGAGGAAAATATAGTTTAGGAACTACTGGTTTAAAGATATGCTGCAACAGAATTTTACACACAACAGGGCTTTTTGGTGGCCTATTATCTTTCACAATAGAAAACTGTAGCTGGAAGGCCAAGAACAGAGAAAGACTGGGAAGATCTGCATGTTGAGACAACAGCACAAACACACAGCAGGGAAAGGGCTCTCAACAGCCTGCGTTAATGACACCCATATTAGCAGGTCAGCAAGATTCCAGCACATCTAGGCCAGCTTCCCAGGACAGGGACATCTGGAGACAACCCAGCCAAACTGATGGCACCTGGTGACTCACAGAGGTAGGACAGGACACAGAAGCAGGGTACAGAAGGGTACAGAAAGGCATAACAGGGACTCTGCATTGTTACCAACAGAAGGAGAACACAAAAGATATTAGAAGAACTTCGTATCTGGTGGCTCTGGACTTCTGTACCATGGCAACAATTCCTGGGTCTAACATCTGGTCATAAGTGTTGTGGTGCCTGGCTGCCAGATGGACGGCTTGAAAACGCCCGCCCTGGTGCCTGGCTGCTGGTCAGACTTGTTAGACACACACCTTCTGGTGAGTAAGAGCATCAGACTGTGAGAGTGCAAGTAAAACTTGCTGTATTTCAGTTTCTATTCTAAATAAAAACACATTCTTCTTCTATTAGGTCATTCAGTATTGTAACAGCATTTTCTACACTACTAGGTCAGCAGATCAGATTTGGAAGAGCAGACAAGCTTTTCCTGTCCTTCTCTAAGAGTTTTTAAGTAGCATGCAAATACTACACATAAGAAAATAAGTCAAAGCAATGAGAACAAGAAGATTGATTGTATTTCCTTAGTTTCATGCATTTTATGAAAGAAAGTATAGCTAGCTAAAAAGAATGCAGAATAAGGTACTTTTGCCCACAAGAAACATGTTCTCCTGAACTCTGTCTTTTCATGCCATTTGTAACATTCTTGTTCTTCAAGTCAAAATTAAGTAGAGGAGGAATAAAATGAACAGTTGTATAAATGTGTCATTTTCAGCACTTGTATTTACTACAATAACTTAATCAGTATTAAACTGAGCTGAAAAAATACAGATGCAACATGGGGATTGGCTATTAGTTTACTTTTTCAAATGAGATAGAATCTTGGCAAAATGTAATTTCACTCACTATAAGCAACATATTTGAACTTTCCATCAGATGTCACCAAAAGGGCATTGTTTGCTATCCAATATTCAAGTGACCTTTTGAATTATGATCACAAAAATTCTCCTGATTATATAGGAAAATCATGTGAAATTTGACATTTCAGCAGCAAGAACAGGCAAAGAGAAGACTAACAATTCACAAGAACTGCCTTTTTCCCCACTCCACACAGAGGCCCTCTGGTTGGCACTACTGAAAATATTGGAGGACACTTACTCCCTAGTAGTGCCAGTAAAAGTTGCGTTGAGTTTTTCCATGAAGAGACAAGGTTCTGCTGTTGGAATTCTGCTGGTAGCTGGAAGAAAAGTTTATAGTTTAGGAGTTCCCCAGGATCCTCCTGATACTATGTTTTCCCACACTAACATCAGCCCATAAAACTTTTTACTGCCCCTGGCTGGACAGGAGTCTCAGCTCCTTCCCAGTAGTTAATGGTCCCTGGCCTCATTTAGATACATTCTTATCTTCTTCCACTTGGAAGGAGCAACACAGTACAGCTGGGCACAAGGCCATGAGCTCTTCACAAACTCCAGCTAATAGAGAAAACCTTCAAAAGCTTTTTTTGAAGCACATTGCTTTGAACCATTGCTCCTCAGAAGCAGAGGCAGCACTAAGAAAGAAATTGAGTTCAGCAGATTCAAAACAGGTAAACCTACAAAAGGAACAGACAAAACAATACTGAACTCAAGAGATGCAGGAGTTGTTGTTTTGTTTGTTTGTTTTTTTCAAAGTCTAGCCAGGGATGGGTAGATGGATCCAACTCTGCCTGCCTTATTTCCCATCTCAATCCCTGACCCAAACACTCCTGCTCACACTTGATTAGGAACTAACTCCAGTAATTCACAGTCTAGAATGCTAAGACACACAAAAATTGTATTTATAGTAATGCACTACTGCAGAAAATTCAGCAGTTGCTACATAAATATCTACATTTTTTCTGAAAGCAACAGTAGGAGCCCTGAGAAGAGGACAAAAGGTTATAATACACATAATATAATATTGTCTGGCTACTATAAAAACAGGACAAAGACCACCAAAAGAAACAAACCCCTAAATCTCAGTTGAATGGCAGGTAGGAAATAGAATTGCTCGTCCTTTTATTCTGCATTAGCAGCATTAAACTTCAGGTCCTAGATGACTTCTATGCAAAATAAAACCATATTCATAGACCCAGTAAAATAAATAAAACTTCTAAGAACACAGACAGTAGGATTTAGTCCCATCAATGAACACATTACATGAAGCACAGGAGAGGAAGAAAAAAAAGGAAATTAAACCATGTCACCATGCAATTTTTGCCAAACTAAGGGTTGGCCTCAGAAGAAAAAATTCTGCAGAAACTCAGGTTTCAAGGATTTTGCAATCAATTTTAGTAGAATAAAAACCATCAGAATAAAAGAAAAGCTTCAAAAGCTGAAGGACTGACTGAATATAGATCTCAATTTAAGATACCACAGAGGGGCAACACCAACTAAAATTTGTTTTGATGGTTTGTTCCAGTGAAAAAATAACTTTTATCAGTTAATGCCAAATTCTTACATTCTTTCACATTCTAGTTACTTACTCTGCTAAGCCAAGCACACTAGTAATAAGTATATACTCAGATGTGCTCACAGTCCCCAGTATCCAGTATTTGTGATACCATTCTTACTATTCTTTTCCAGAGGAAAAAAGTATGGGATTTAACTCATTTCTTCTTAAATGCACAGAAAACCCTCCATTATCTGAACTAATGGGGTTTGGGATATCCCAGTTAATCCAGAAAGCATGAGAGGTGCACAGAGAAACCCCAGTAAAAGTAATTAGCTTAGAGCAAACCTGCCTCTTTTTCCAGCCATCAAGGAATGTCTGCACTGTCCTTCTGAGCGCTCCAGCTTGCTTAAATGACACACAACATCACGATCTCTCAGCAGTTACGTCAGGCCCAGTTTTGTACTAAACCTCACAGGCTTTTTGAGACAGTGAACAGCATGATGCAGACCTATTCAAACGACTACACTTGGAGCCAGTCTGACACATCCTGTACTGAGCTAACAAACCACTGAAGTGGAATTAATGCTCAGTGAGCTTAATGTCTGCATAGACTTCCCAGACGCCCAATTTCAGATACAGACTGCAGAGACACCCAACTGGGCTCTGCAGAGAGCAGGTCTAGGCCCATAAAAATTTCTAACTTGTACTCCATGCTGTCCATGATTGGTTAACATAGTTCTGAATCTGACAATGCTCTTGAAGAAGTACATAATGTTTTTGTATTCTTGTGTCCACAGTGATAAACTCAATACACAAAGTTAAAGCTGTATGGACGTTTTGCATCTGTGATCAGAATTAATTTCCAACCTGGATAATTTTCTCATAGATAGCAAAGTTAAGTGCGCTTACACCTTCCCTTTATTTAGGGAAAGGAACACACAGTAGTTCCAGCTCAGTTCCTGCAGTTCCCGCTCTGATGAAATTCTTCTCATACCAGAATGTGACTCAGTGATTTGAAATGCAAGTTACCTGATAGTGTTCCAAACATTAAAGCCATCCAAAGGCTTAGTGCCATTGGTATGTCCCCCAGCAAGGTGCACCAGCGTTGGTAGCCAATCAGAGATATGGATGAGGTCGTGACTTTCTACACCCTTTTGTTTCAGTAAAGGACTTGCAACAAAGCCTACTCCTCTCACTCCTCCTTCCCAGAGGGTCCATTTTCTTCCTCTCAGTGGCCAGTTATTCCCACCTGCCAAAGTCTGCCCTCCATTATCTGGAAAACAAATTATTATTGTTAAGAAATTGGTAGGCAATTATTGGTAAGAAAGAAACAGAAAAAGCCTCTCCAAAACATTTATTTACCTGGCTTTAAAAATATCTTCACAATTCAGCTATGTGTCATCCAAGTACTTGCACAGTGCTGTTACGTATTCATAAAAAATATTGCATGTTTAGAGCACATAACAAACATGTTAATTCTTGCTAGAGTCTTAAAAATTATCTTGATGTAAAGTTATTGCTAGGCAGAAATGATACCATACTAGAGACCAACTATTTAGAATGTGTTTGTTAAAAGTAACCTCTCATGTTGATTCTAAATATCATCAGATACACAAAGGTTTCAGAATCAAAGACTTTGAAAACTTAGTTCCATCCACTTTACAGGCCACAAGAAGAGTTGCTATCAATGGCATCAACAGTACTCAGACTATGTTGTTTTCCAGAACAGTGTGGTATCCTTAAAATGGGAAACTGTTATTCCAGTGTTAGGAAGGACAATACCTGTACTCCTAGTTTAGGAGGTTTTTTCCTAGATTTTTAGGCAGCCACATTGATTTCTAATGTTACACAAAATAGACAGTTTCTCAGGCAGAAGGAGTTGAAACTACTTAAATAATTTAAGCAGCTTGGGTAGACACTGACTTTACTGTGTTTGGTGAGAATTACATATAAGATGGTTACAGAAAAAGCTGAACCATGACTACCATAACTCAGAAATATCTACATGAATTAGAAATAGCTCACGTAATTCTTTTTAGCTTTCTCTGACCAAGTCTCTACACTCAGAATAAAATTCAGATTTTTGAATTTAACAGAATTAATTATTCTTCAGAGTTACTTCTGGTACAGCTGTACAGCTCTTCAAACCTATTGTAATGCTTTCAAAAGAGTCATCAATGACAATTCTTTTAAGCATACTTTTTCTTAATTTTAATGAGGTTAAAATTATCTAAAATAGTTATTCAACTGACATTCAGTGTAATTTGACATGTTTATATCATATTTTCTGATCAAAAAATGGGAATGTGAGGGAAGAAATAAGAAATTCACGTCCAACACCCTACAGAAGAACTTTACTGTAACTACAACACAACAAAATTATCTCCCTTTTGTTTCATGAATTAGGGATCAATGTAAACCTCTTCTGTGAACATCTTTCTACTCCACATAGAAGACCCTTTTTTTTCTACTAAGGAATAAAATAGTGCATACCTCTGAAGACTGCAGAAGATGGAAGCCTAAGTTAAATGAAGCTCTTAGGAAAAACAGCATAATTTGAAAAGTGTAAAGTGCCCCATGGTCCAACCAGCTTCTGGCAGGGCTGCTTGTGTTCTTGGGTTAAAAATAAGTATCATCTTCAATATGAAATGCAGATACATCAGATACTCACACAACAATGTTGAGCACTGAGATCTGAGAATTTAAACAGTTCCTGGTTGGAAAAAACAAACAAACAAACGAACAAACCAATTTCAATAACTCTTTCTACTCTTCTTGTAAACAGGAATTCCTATCAGGGATATATTCCTGGGAGAAAGCTTTAGTAGCTTTTAACTTTTGGTGGCCTTAAAATAAAAGGTATCTTACCTACATTATATTTGAGCACAATTTGGACATACAGAGGGATAAAATCTTAAATATGTTAAATATCTTCATATCACAAGCTAGCTGATGTCGCTATGAGTTTAATACTAGCACATTATATCTTTTTTCAGTCCTGAATATAAGCTACAAAGGAGCAAGAAACTAACAGAAGACTGTCTTTCTGAAAAACAGAGAGAGAAAAGTGTGCTTTTCCCAGGGTACAGACAAATCTTTGTTATATTCTCTTTTTCTTTACTTTCTGTATTTGAGTTGAAGAAATTCATATTGTGTCAGTTTCATTATATAAAAAATTCCCCAAGACAAGGATTCTATCTAATTAATATCCTGTAAAAACTCGTGTGGTATCAGCATTCACACAGAGTACACCATAGTTTAAAAAAAAAAAATGGGGAGCAGGAATTCTTGTTTGGTAGCTTATCTGGAATACAAATTTAAAAACTCAACATATGAGACAAGTTTCATCCCGCTCATTTGGACTTCTCCTTTTCACACATTGCTATAATGTATTTCTTTTTCCCTCAGGAACTCCTGTTCAAGAGGCACTTTCTGCTTAATTTCTTGACTGAGTCATCAAGAAAGTGCTGAAGGAGGGAAAAGGATTTTTTTTATTTGATTACTGAAATCTGTTTCCCTTCCAGGTAAGCAGCATCGAGCTGATGCATCACTGAGGTGCTAAGTGGCTTCTTTCTTCAGTCTTCAGTAGTAAGACCAGCTGCTCTCTGGGCACCCAGACCACTCTAAGGTGGAAGACAGATGTAGGGAGCAGTTTGAAGACCCCATAATCCAAGTGGAAATGGTCAGCAACCTGCTACACCACTTAAACACACACAGAAGTCTATGGGGCTGGATGGGATCCACCCATGGGTACTGAGGGAGCTGGCAGAAGTGCTCATCGAAAGACTTTCCATCATTTATCAGCAGTCCTGGCTAACTAGGAAGTCCCACTTGACTGGAGATTGGCAGATGTGACACTCATCTATAAAAAGCACTGGAAGGACAATCCAGGGAACTCCAGGCCTGTCAGTCTGACCTTGGTGCCAGAGAAAGTTATGGAACAGATCATCTTGAGTGTCATTATGCAGCTCATGCAGGACAATCGGGTCCAGTCAGCATGGTCCAAAGTCAGTTTATGAAAGGCCCATCCTGCTTGACTAACCTGATCTCCTTCTATGACAAGGTGACATACTTAGTAGATGAGGGAGAGGCTGTAGGTGTTATTTACTTGAACTTTAGTAAAGCCTTCAGCATCATTTCCCACAGCATTCCCTTGGAGAAACTGGCTGGTCATGGCTTGGACAGGTACCCTCTTCACTGGGTAAAAACCTGGCTGGCTGGCTGGGCCCAAAGAGTTGTGAATGGAGTTAAATCCAGCTGGTGGCCAGTCACCAGTGGTGTTTCTCAGGGGTCAGTACTGGGGCCAGTTTTGCTTCATATCTTTATCTGTGATATGGATGAGGGGATTGAGTGCATCCTCAGTAAACTTGCAGATGATGCTAAGTGGGAGGGGGTGTTGATCTGCTTGAGGGCAGGGAGGCTCTACAGAAGGGCCTGGACAGGCTGGAACAATGGGCTGAGGTTCAACAATGTCAAGTGTCAGGTCCTGCACTTGTGTCACAACAACCAACTAAGCTGTTCCCCATACTCACGCTTTTTGAGCTAAGTGTCTCAAATATGGAACAAACTCCGAAGTCCATATGGAAACTCCCAATAGTCTAAAATACCCACTGAATATCCACTTAGGTAAGAGACAAATAGGATCATTGTTGCTTCATGTTCTACACTGGCTTCATATCAAATTCTAAATCCACTGCAGAACAATATTTCCCGAATGATTTATCATCCATTTTTGCAACTGTTGCTCTTCATGACTCATCCTAATACCTAATCTCAGCAGACAGTTTCCAGAGCAAAGCTTTTGAATAAACCAGAGTATTTGATTTATAACATTTCTTATTATAAAAGCTTCAACCTTGCTACTTGAGCTGAAAACAGAAGCCTCCCCCAAGAATGATACTTCAATTTTCTCTTTCATGGAGACAAATATCAAATAGAATTTTCATTTAAAATAATGGTGAAATAGTCTGGAAAACATGGTAAGCATATTTTTCCTATCTGTAAGAATATTGTTTTGTAATTGCATGTATATAGTTTAGCCATCAGTAGTGCCCTGAACATATTACGTGCATTAGAAAAATCCTCTAATTAACCAACTGTTGTCCTTAAAGAAAGGAAAAGGGTAGAGAAAAAGGCTATACTTAGAAATTATGGTACTTGGCATAAGTGTTTCCTAGCTCATTTATTCAATCCTATTTGCTTTCTCAAATGGAAGAATCATACATTTTTAAAGAGCTTTGTTGTTTGCATGGCCTGGCTTGCTTTGATAGGTCTTTAGCTACCTTTACTATCTCACAGTATTTTCACCATTCACATAGTTCTGTTATTTTAAGGAGGGGGGGACTGAGATGCTTTTTCTTCCTTTCTGATGGAATTTTCTCCTGCAAGCTGAAGCTTGTGACAACAAAAGAGAACTTTGAGGAGAGACAGTCTCGCTGATACAAGAATGGGCTGAAAGAGAGTTTATAGCTGGCATTACCACCAAAAACAAACAAACAAACAAAAAAATGCACAGAAGACATATGTAGGATAAATGGTAAAAATGCCAGAATAAAGCAGAGAAACACGAAGTAGTTTTGATCAAAGTTGTGCAACCACAAATTAAATCAGTCTTGTAGACTACAGAAAAATCTGTATAATGCAGTAATCGTATCATGAACACCAATTATATGCTACACTGATTAGGGAAGAGGTGTCATTCCTACTATGGAAAAGAAAGCAAAAATCCTAAAGAGAAAACTAAGCACATTGAGACTTGTAACATTGGGGAGGGAGTATCCAATAGTTAGGCCTGAAGGAGTCATGTAGTCACAGACAGAACAGTTTCTTATGGGCAATATATATTTTGAAGTGTCAGGAATTTGTCAAGAGTCCCAAGAAATAAAAACCAGGCTCATCCCTATCATCATTTACACTATTCCTGTGCATAGCATAATCCTTTTTAATTTTGTGTTGTCCTTCAGTAGGCAAGGGGTAGGAATCTGATTAGATCTGAATGTATCTTAAAAAAAAATGATTGCTACATGGAATAATTTCTTTGGAGCTGATACTAGCAAAACTATTAGGTCTAACCCCCCCTCCTAAAACCAATGCAGTGCTTCCAAACCCAAAACACCACATTTTGTTAATTTCTCCATATGAGTGTATCTGTGAGACATGTATCCTGATAAAATAAACTGATATAAAGCTCTCACAATAGTCATTCACAATACCTTAACCCCCTGAATATATTTAAAGCAGTGGTAAAGCTGATTCTTACTAAATAACATGCAC